GATAAATGTTTGTCAAAAAAAAAGCTACTAGATACTTTTTGTTATCGATTACTGTAAGTAGATGTTAAAAATTATAAAATGATTATAAATATTAATACTAGTTGAAATCCACTTCTGTAAGCATTTGATATTCTTAAAAAAAGGTCACGATTTGGTTCCATTTTTGACTTTTGATTCCAACTTTTTCCACAGATCTTTTAAATTTTCTTTTCTTTTTTGTGAGGCTCTGTTGGGGTTTTAATTGAATAGAACTGAAAAGTTAAATGCGTCGAGCTTCAATAACTATCGTAAATACTGTAATAGTACCCCACCGCCATGATGACGGTGCGGAGTGTTGCGTAGTCTAGCTTTGAACAAGTTTTTCTCGACACTGGTTTATGCTACAATGCGCGCTTAGGTATCAAAAAATAGCTGAAATTCAGGGCTATTTTTTGATACCAAAGACGCATTTTTTGAAAGTACGAGCACTTTGAAAAAACTTGAAAAAATACGAATGCGGCTTTTGAAAAAAAATACTAAAAAACTTTTGCGACTACGCGACTGTACGAGGGCGGTGGGGTACTATTACAGTATTTACGGTAGTTTACTAGTTAGCTTACTAGTTAGCTTACTAGTTAGCTTACTAGTTAGCTTACTAGTTAGCTTACTAGTTAGCTTACTAGTTAGCTTACTAGTTAGCTTACTAGTTAGCTTACTAGTTAGCTTACTAGTTAGCTTACTAGTTAGCTTACTAGTTAGCTTACTAGTTAGCTTACTAGTTAGCTTACTAGTTAGCTTACTAGTTAGCTTACTAGTTAGCTACTAGTTAGCTTACTAGTTAGCTTACTAGTTAGCTACTAGTTAGCTTACTAGTTAGCTTACTAGTTAGCTTACTAGTTGGCTTACTAGTTAGCTACTAGTTAGCTTACTAGTTAGCTTACTAGTTAGCTTACTAGTTAGCTTACTGGTTAGCTTACTGGTTAGCTTACTGGTTAGCTTACTGGTTAGCTTACTGGTTAGCTTACTGGTTAGCTTACTAGTTAGCTTACTAGTTAGCTTACTAGTTAGCTTACTAGTTAGCTTACTAGTTAGCTTACTAGTTAGCTTACTAGTTAGCTTACTAGTTAGCTTACTAGTTAGCTTATTCACTAAACACTCAGTAAAGCTAATGGATTTTAGAAAAGCAAAGCGATGCACAAAAGAGCTCATCCGATTCCTCCTTGAGCCATGAGCCAAAAATCGAAGCCGTTTTCCATACAAATCCGATGTTTATTGTTTAAAACATTTATCTATTGTTGATATGTTTATTTTATTATATTTTGACCCGAATCTTTCTTCAGATTCTCATTTTCTCAATACGGTTTGAGCGAATTGTTCAAAGAATTTTTTTTTGCGTTTTTCATTTGTTTCCCTTGATTTATCTGACTATTGTTATTCAAATATTTGAATTTTTTTTGGCTTCAAGAGTTTCAAAATCTGTTTCTCTTTTCTCAATTAAAATCAAAATCTATTCAAAATCTATTCGAAATCTATTCGAAGTCTATTCGAAATCTATTAATCCTAACCATTCCCCTTGTCACATAGATTGACCTGTAAATATCTTTGTAAATCGATTTCATCGTCTCTAACTAACCTTTTTCAAATCTTAGAACAAACATTTTATCTTTAAATATATAATTGTAGCAATTTGAGTTCAAAGAAAGAGTTTATCGGATTGTTGTACAGAATAAAGAACAGAATGTACAAGGAAATGACTCCAACTTGAAGTTCCGAATCACTTCAACCCTAACTAGATCTTAACGGATCGGAGATCAATACAACAACAAACTCTTGCACACTATTAGATGCGAATATCGATATCAGTAAAAGATTCTAGTCTTCTCGTCTATAAACTAATAATATTCAACCAAAGTTCAAGTTCATTTCAAGAACTTTTACTTTTTATGAGCTTTATTGACGAAATGACTTATCGTTAAGCTCATTGATGTAAAGAAAAGGAAATAAAGGAGTATTGATCTATCAACACAATTCTTTTTATTTACTCAACTTTTAAGAAATTTCAAATTCTGTACCTAACCCAAGTCTTAGAACGAACATTTTTTCCTTTAAATATAATTGTAGCAATTTTAGTTCAAAGAAAGAGTTTATCGTGTTGTTGTGCAGAGAAAGAACAAAAGCTTTTGGCTTTTGCCTACAAATTTCTACCGTAAATACTGTAATAGTACCCCACCGCCCTCGTACAGTCGCGTAGTCGCAAAAGTTTTTTTTCAAAAGTTATTTCATTTTTTTCAAAGTGCTCGTACTTTCAAAAAATGCGTCTTTGGTATCAAAAAATAGCCCTGAATTTCAGCTATTTTTTGATACCTAAGCGCGCATTGTAGCATAAACCAGTGTCGAGAAAAACTTGTTCAAAGCTAGACTACGCAACACTCCGCACCGTCATCATGGCGGTGGGGTACTATTACAGTATTTACTGCAGGTATTTCTAGATTCATTTTAGTCAACTTTTTTCAATATTCTTATTATCAATTAGTAGGTTTTTATCGCTAGTTATTTTCATTTACAAAAAAAATAGCGCTGAAAAGAGCTATCCATTTCATCTAGTTGTAAAGTTTCTATTTGAAAACAATTTGAAAACTTTTTCACAACAAGATAACAAATGAATTCTTTGATCAAGTTAATGTGGCAATTCTCAGAATGTTCTGTCAGAGTAAATCAATGTTTATATCAATTTGGAATCACTTTTGATGACTCATCAGCCCGATCCAGGATCTAATTCCCTTGTAAACATCCTCAAAAAAAGTCCCAAGTTTACCAAATCTCAATTTTTCAATTTTCCGTATGAGAATTAGGAGAAGGAAAGGGAAAAGAGACCAATTTTCCATTCATCAAAGAAAGCGCAAAAAGAAATTGACTCATTTTGTGTTACTGGACTTTTTTTTCCTTTAAAAAGTGTTTTCACAAAGAGAGAAATGGATTTGAAAAAAAAAATGAGAGAAATCCAGGGAAATTTTCACATTTTTCCATCGATTCCCTCAATTTCTTGATCTAAATTTCTAATATAAAAGCTTTTTATTCATTTTTTTTTTGATAAATCTTTTTTAAGTTATTTTTAGATCTCTATTTTGAGAGGTTTTTCTGAATTTTCATTTCTGAATCAATATTTGACTTTTGAAAGTGATTGGGGGCTATTTTTTAGATCGATAATAATATTTACGTTTTCATTATTGTATTTTAAAATGTTTCACAAATGTAGACAACAGTTCTAAAGTGATTTATTTTTACTTTTATTATCAAGTTTATTATTATCAATTGTTCAATGCGCCTCTAGAAGGGGGCCTTTTCTCTTAGATTACAACTCTTTGGTCTTGAAACGTTACACCTTATCATTGATTTAGTGGAATGCTTTAAAATTGTTAAAAGCATTCATCCCGACTCCCTTTTTTCTGGTCTCTTTGAATTCGGCTCTCTACGGGGCGCCTCCAGAATTGCAGGTGCCTTTTCTCATACGCCAACCTTCCGTTTCCTCTAAAAGCCCCCACAGTTTCTTTTTTAATCGAGTGATTAAATTCGGGAACATTTTACCCCCACATGTTCGTGATATTCCCACCTTGGCTAGATTTAAAGCCCGCAATTTCGGCAATTCATTTGACTTCTCTGTGATTCTTTCTTGAGGTATCTATTTATCTTTTGGGCGTGTTTTGAGTGGGGTCCCGGGTAATTATTCTGATTTTTTTTGTCGCGATTCAACTGAATAAAGCATATATATAAAGCTTTTTATTCGTTTTTAAGTTATTTTTAGATCTTTATTTTGAGAGGTTTTCATTTCTGAATCAATATTTGACTTTTGAAAGTGAAAGTGAAAGTTGGGGGCAATTTTTTAGAACGATAATAATATTTATGTTTTCATTATTGTATTTTAAAATGTTTCACAAATGTAGACAACAGTTCTAAAGCTATTTATTTTTACTTTTATTTACTTTTATCAAGTTTATTATTATCAATTGCTTTTCTAGATGTACTTTATGCTTAAAACTTTTAAACACATCGTTTCTGGGGTAAAAAAAAGGTTTAAACACATTTTTAAAAATATTAGCTGTTTCTGGATTGTTTCTGGATTGTTTTTTATGTTTTTTTCTCAAGTAATATAAAGAAATTGAAGAATTCAGTACAATAGAAATGATGTGTTTTAACGATTTGCTTAAAGGAGGAATTGAGTTTAAAGGAGAGATTTGATTTATGTTCCAATTTCAAAAAAACTCTATTCAACTCTATGCAAAAAAAAACTCTATTCAAACTTTCGCCCCAAACATTTCGACAAGCTTAGCTTAGACAAATATTATTGTTACTTTTTCAAATCCAAAAGCTAAATGGGATTTTTGTTTTTGTTAAAGTTTTTACTTTTGCCATCTCCCTTTGCCATCTTTTTTTTTGTGTTAATAAAAGCGAAAGAGAGAGGTCAATGGGTGGATCAAATTCTCTTTCATAAACAATTCTCGATTTATTTGCCATTCAATCCAAAAAAAAAGAGAATATGAAACAGTGTTTTTTTTTAAAATATTAGCTGTTTCTGGATTGTTTCTGGGTTGTTTTTTGGCTGAATTTGGCTAAAAAATGATTTTCCATTTAATTCAAAAGTTTTGAGGAATTTGTTTTGAATTGTTTGCTCTGGCTTTGGGAAAAATATTTTGCTAAGAATTTGTATAAAAGGTTGAAGGTTTTGAAGAAAAAGATAACAAAATTTGAGCTTTTTTCAAGTTTAGCAAGCTAATGCTTAGTTTAGCAAGCTAATCCTTAGTTTAGCAGTTTAGTTTAGCAAGCAAGCAACATTTAGAATTGTACAGTTTGAAAAAATCGTTCATTTGACTCTTGTTTATGAAGTTTTTAAGGCTTTTTTCTCAAAAAATTTGTTTCAAAATTTGATTTGTTTATTGAAATGTTTTCAAAAACTATAAAATTATAAGAATTTAGAAGTTTGTTGTTGAAGTTTTTGTTGAAGAAAACTAAGAAAAGGCATTAAAATGCTCTTCTTGCTCGCTCTCTTTCCATCAATTCAGGCAGGAAGTGAGTTTATTTATTTTCATTAGAGAAATTTTGATTCAAATGGTTTAGATAACTATAGATAACTAAAGATAGAGATTTCGATAAGTAGATAACTACCGTAAATACTGTAATAGTACCCGACCCCCCTCGTACAGTCGCGTAGTCGCAAAAGTTTTTTAGTTTTTCATTTTTTTCAAAGCGCCCGTACGTTCAAAAAAATGTGTCTTTGGTATCAAAAAATAGCCCTGAATTTCAGCTATTTTTTGATACCTAAGCGCGCATTGTAGCATAAACCAGTGTCGAGAAAAACCTCGTTCAAAGCTAGACTACTCAACACTCCGCACCGTCATTATGGGGGTGGGGTACTATTACAGTATTTATGGCACTTACCAGTCTCAGAAGAGCTTTAGAAATCTCATGCCAATGTTTAAACGTAACATACTTTCAAAAAATGCGTCTTTGGTATCAAAAAATAGCCCTGAATTTCAGCTATTTTTTGATACCTAAGCGCGCATTGTCGCATAAACCAATGTCGAGAAAAACTCGTTCAAAGCTAGACTACGCAACGCTCCGCACCGTCATTATTAGGGTGGGGCACTATTACAGTATTTACGGTAATTATTAGGTAAAATATTATTTAGAACTTTCAAAATTGATCTATTAACACAATTCAGTTGATGTGCAATTGCCGGGCGCTTGTGGGCTGCCGATGGATCAAGGGAAAGACTGTGGGAATGCGACGATTCGAGTAAGGCAATGAAATATAATAAAAAAATACAGTATTAATATGAATAATATAATATAATATCTATATTTACCGTAGGCGGGGCACGGTAGTTACCATAGTTTCCCGTATCTACAAGCTACAAGCTGTATCTCAAGCTCAAGTTTAGAATCATCATCAACGTTATAATCAAACGATAACACGATAATAGTTACTTCATTTTAAAAAACATCAATCAGATAATCTAGTGACACATTTAGTACTATATGGATAAAAGTCGTTTATCCTGTTTCCCATTCAAATATCTGGGGTGTGGCGGCAACGAGAATAACTATCCGACTGAAAGTGATTGCTTCAGATGCATGCCGAGTAAGTGCAATCCTTTTGATGTAATTCGATTTTGTGAAAGTCTTTAAGTAACGTTTTACAGTGGATTTGAACTTTTGCCCGGGAAACACCGATCCAGTAAAAGACGTCAACGGGAGCTCCTACTGCAACTTTCAGCAAAAGTGTGCGCCGGTGAGCATTTCTTTTGGAATTATTTGAAAATTTTACAGATATACATAATTGTAAGTACTATATTATTATGTTAATAACTTATTATTATGTATTATTCTGTTAATCTGCTAATAATTTGACTCTATTTTCAGGGTTCACAATGTCGAATGGGTTTCGCGGTGGGACTCTGTTGCAGCAATGAGTCAATCAGTGAGTTTATGCGGAGTAATCATCTAAAGTCATTTAGCATTTAAACGTCAATCCCTAATAATTTAATAAATCTTAAAAAAGTAGAAATTTAAAAACTAAATTTTATCAAAAAGTTTTAGAGAAAGAGAGCGCCGACAGCAGCCCGATTTGCCCACAATCAAAGGAAGTCGTCAAAGTAAGATATAAATTTTTGAGCTATATTATATGAATATGCTATAATATATGAATATAAAGCTATATTATATGAATATAACGCTTTATTATATGAATATGCTATATTATATAAATATAAAGCTATAATATGAATATAAAGCTATATTATATGAATATAAAGCTATTATATGAATATAAAGCTATAATATGAATATAAAGCTATAATATATGAATATAAAGCTATATTATATGAATATAAAGCTATAATATATAAATATAAAGCTATATTATATGAATATAAAGCTATAATATGAATATAAAGCTATAATATGAATATAAAGCTATAATATGAATATAAAATTTACTATAAATATCTAGGATAATGTCTGAATAAGAGAAATTTCAGTACCTATCAAAGAAATTTCAGACTCAACGCTTCGGCTTTGACTCGATTCTGCAGGGATTGAATTGCTCGGATGATTTTTGTCCAAGGGGTTGGTTTTTGAAAAACTTTAAGAATGATATACCGTATAATAAAATACAGTAACCTGTGTGCTAAATAATCAAATCTTAGATACACTACTTTTTCAGGCACAAGCTGTCACAAGGGCGAGTTCATCTCTTACTGCTGTAAATAAATTGCGAGTTCACTTTGCAAAATTACTGGTGCTTTAACAAAGTATATGATGTATAAATATATATTCTTATTTTCGAGAAAATCTCTTATTCGCCAAGATCAAAACATTTTAACGCCATTTTACAGAGATAATTGGGTGTTTTGCCTTGCCGAGCCGCTTTTACATATAGAGGAACGTGTTTCTCGTTTGACTCGTACACAATTCGACATGTTTTCTCCTGGAATTTGATGGATTACACTGTTAAACACGGAAAACCCATTACAATAAGCCCGAGTTTACTAGTATCTTTTAGCATTACAGAAATCCGGAGTAACAAGTATTTGAGCTACCTAACGAAGCTCGTAAGTCCGTAGTTTTTTCACATAAAGCTCTTTTAGCTGAATTTCTTCTGTTCTTAAGATTTAATTGGCTTTATGATTGGGAACTGTGTTTTAAAAGCCCTTAATTTAATGTTTTGCAAAGTATCACTCCTAACGGCGGTCCAGCATTTGGTCCAATATCACCATCTGTACAAAGTTTCAAGAAAGACTTCTTAAATGAGCGAGTGGTAATCGATTTTAAATCACCGTCCAACTCATCGGTGACCTTGTGAGTGAAATCCTAAAAAAATTGAGTAGAGTTATAATCGATTGACAATTTCAAGCATTTTGAATAACTATAATACCACACCTATCTTTACAATACTTTTGTTAGGAGCTCTACTTCTAGTACACAGTAAATTTCGATCTTTGAAAGTATCGCAAAGTAATTTTAATTCTTTTTAATCAAAAGCCATTTGCAGTCAATTAATGAAAAAGATGAAAAGCGGGGGGTGGGACAAATGCGACCTTTTTTTGCGCACCTGGACATTTGCGCACCTTTTTTTGCTGGAAAAGGCCTTAGGCAAGGCCGTAGAGCTTCGAAAATATTTCGAAAATACTTCCATATAAGGGAATCGTATGCGTAGATTCCGAATTTCGACAAATCAGACCTCGCTGACACGTCAAATTTGGGCTAAAAGGCAAAAACTACGCAACTTAACGCTTTTCCGCAGTTTTTGCCTTTTAGCCCAAATTTGACGTATCAGCGAGGTCTGATTTGTCGAAATTCGGAATCTACGCATACGATTCCCTTCTATGAAAACATTTTTGAAGCTCTACGACCTTTCCTAAGGTCTTTTCCAGAAAACAAAGGGGGGCAAATGTCCAGGTGCGCAAAAAAAAAGTCGCATTTGTCCCACCCCCAAAAGATGAAAAGCGCAAACTTTCTAGAGCAATATGTAGCTCCTTTGTGATATTCAGATATTCAGTTCCTAGGCTGAACAACTTGAAAGGTTGGCAAATAAAATAAACGTCAAGCGCAAAAATTTTTCATTGTTTTTAAATGACCCGATGCGCTTATTTCATCGCCGTTCTACTATCTTACTAGATCACATCTCGTATTGTTTGTTTGTTTGTTAATCACAAAACTAGGTATGCTGTTACATAAATTTTAGAATAATGCAGCGCTTTGTTAGGTTACAGTTTTTCACTACTGAACCCTGTTATCTTTCTTGTTTCGTTATTTTGGTTGATTTGTTGAAGCTAATAATCCAATTTTTTAGATAAAGATGGGTAGTCGAGAGAAACGTGTCGAGACGGAGGAGAAAAGTGGAGAAAAGAACGTCGCACAAGCGAAGGAACCGTCGAACGATTCTCCGGGAGGTAAACTTTTTATGTTATTGTTATTTGATAATTAAAATGATCATATGGTTAAAAGGAATGGAGTTAGAAATATAAGATACGGCTAATCTCCGAAGTTTTGATTTACACGATTTTTTTAACAAATTTTAACGGTTGTTGCAGCTCTTACTACCTTAATGCAATAGTTTATGTTTAGACAAAAATCTTTTCTGTCATATAGTGAGCAAAATTTTGAGTTCAGTTTTTATTGTATTAAAATTTGTTTCTTTTAGGTGGACGTTACAACTTTCGCAGACGCGTTACAACAATCAAGAAACCGGAAGACGTTGCCTCGACCTCGCGAGTCAATGTGACTCCGAGAGGAAAGAATTTCTCTGGTCTGCCTCGTCATCTACAAGAACTAGTGCTCTTGAAGACCAACGTCGACATGCGATTGCAACTCCTTCAAACCAACAAACAGCTGCTGAAATGGACACGTGAAGAAGGACTGTTCCCTCGTGATTTAGAGAAGCTTTCGCTCCACTACGGCACAACCTGGCTCACGACACGCGACCTGCGATTGCACGAGTTGAAAGGAAAACGCAGGGGCTTGATCAAGTCGACGCGGACTACTCGTATACTGGAGGTGCAATTCGAGTATGGTGACTTCGAGATGCGCACTGCGTTGCCACGCCTGGTCAAGGTGTTTGATGCAAGGGTCTACCTGGCGACTTTTGAAAAGTTTCGCACAACTTTTCTGGACACGTCTTTCAAAATCCGCCGCGCATTACATTTTGAGTTTGCGTTTTCCCAAACGGAGGTGAACATCGCTGCGCAAGATGTCAAAAGTGTGCTCCAGTTTGTTGACCAACACAATGGCGGTATCAAGTTCATCGACTTTGACAATTTCCCGTTGAAAAAAGTGTTTGATTGGTTGAAGACGCAGCGCTTTCGTTTCGCAAGTTTTGTGATTGCCGATTTTGAGTTTCCTACGTTTGAAGAGGCGCTCAACTTGGTGCTTAAGGATGGAGTGCCAGGTGTGGACGATAACCCAATCCTGGCTTTACGCATTTTCGACGCAAATGCCTATATGAGTCGAATCACGAGAATCATCTCCGACAAAAAGCCGATCACCGTCTCTCAAACGACCGCGATTTATCAACAATTCCGTGGTGCACTTCACGATGCGCCTGAATCAATGCAGCCCTGGGTTATGAACGAAGAGACTCTCGGTTTCAAGCAACAGTTCAACAAGGAAAAGAATCTCGTCTATCTCGTAAATCAAGAAGATGACGACCTTTGTCTGCTGATCAAATTTGAGCCAATTGTTTAATTGTGTTTTTCCGCTTATTTTTGTGCTTTTTTTGTTAAAAATTTTAGTGCTTTGATAAACTGGTTACTATGTGAAAAAAAGTGTGGAAAGCGTTTGTGGCTTGGTCAGCCAGAGAGGCATATTTCTAAATTGCTTGAATCTAGCTGAAATGTGAAGACTGGAGACTATAAAGCTAAACCTTGCACATGTTGCATGGAATCATCGCGTGACCAACTTGAAAACCAACGAATAGAAGCACAAAGAGAATTTGCCGCATTTTGTGAACTTACGTGTAGAGGTTTATATGGTGACAATGTTTTTAAAAAAGCGGGCAAGAAAGGGGTTCTTTTAAATTCCCCGACTGTGCTCCCGGATTCGCTGAATACAAGTGGTGTGTAAATGAAAAAAATATCGATTTTATTTTTTTGAAGCGAGATGTCGAAAACTACTCAACGTTGACTTTTTAGGGTCAATTTTTATAACGGAAAGTTACTCAATTACAGTGGTTACTTTTTTGATTGACAATATGCTTTGTACAATGCCAGATCTGATGCACATTTGAGACTAAATCCTATTTTTTTTGCATGAAAACTGTATAACTTTGTGCCTGGTTATAAGTGAAAGGAACAACTTGGTATGCACCTCTAGCAAGTTGCTCTCAATTTCCTCAAAACTATTCACTCAAAGGTAACATTTGAGGACATTTCGACAGATCTCGATCTCGTCCTTGCCACACTTTTCCGCCGCAATCGATCGCTCGTAGGCGGCCTCATTCTTTTCGTACGATTTTCGGCAGATTCTCTCCTCAAAATTGGTCTTATAATTTAGTTTTCGATCCAGTATCAAGCTCAAGGTGCACTAATGAACATCCCGGAAATAAGTTCTTTGTTATCACTAGAAGCTACGCTACTTTGGTGGAGATTTTGAGGCTTTTGAACTGAAAGTGCTCCCTGAACTCACATAATCCTTCAAATCATCTCTTCTATCCTCTTCGCTTCGAAAACGTTTCAGAAATTTCTTCATCAAGAACCCTCTCAACGATTTCTCGCTGAGATTCGTCAAATTGCCGTCAAGAGACGATGCTTTCATGTCTGCGGCGTCTTTCTGGAATGACTCAAATTTATGAATGAACTCAAAATTTAATTTTCATTGTCTAACAATAAGTTAGTTTACAGCTACAGAATCTTTAATTGACTGTGTAATTGTACACTTCCAAAAGCAGTTTCTAAAATCTCAATTTTTTTTTGATTCTTTCTCGATTTCCTTATAATTGTCTCCAATTCATCGCATAAATTTGTATTTTTTGTTTATAAAAGTTTACGAGGCTAAAAGGTTTTGTTTTTTTTGCAAAATTACTACGGGTATTGGGAACTTTTTATGTCGTGAACATTACTTTTAGTTGTGGGAATGCTTTCGGGATCTTTTTCTTCTGATTGAACATACAAATTTTCAAGTTTTACATGTAAATTGTATCTCTTGAGAAAATTTTGAGAAAGGAAATAGGAAAGGTAGCTTGACTTTTAAGAGGGTAGGCTAGTTTCCGCAATTTTTTTTTGCGCAACGGGGTCATTTGTGCAACTCGCCATAACTTTCTTCTAAATCAGCCAATCTTTATGATTTTGGTTTCATTTTGTTGCATTTGTTGAGATCTACCAAATGACACCAAAATCATGAAGATTGGTCGACTTAGAAGAAAGTTATGGCGAGTTGCGCAAACGATCCAGTTGCGCAAATGACCCTGTTGCGCAAAAAAAGTTGTGTAAACTATTGGATTGAGATTTTTCCCAGAATTTGGGGTAGGCTTAATTTTTTTGCGCAACAGGGTCATTTCTTTTTTTTTTGGGGTGTGGCTACTTTAAACCAAATTTTTTGTGCAACTCGCCATAACCTTTTCCCATTTTTATGTTTTTAGTGTCATTTTGTTGCACTTGTTGAGATCTACCAAATGACACCAAAATCATGAAGATTGGTTGACCTAGAAGAAAGTTATGGCGAGTTGGGCAAATGACCCTTTTACGCAAAAAAATTTGGCGCAAAGTAGCCCCTTTTAAGTGCATTGGTTTGTTTTATTTGGTTTTCGATATTATTTTTTATTTTTCTGATTGAAAATCTCAAAATTATGAACTTAACAAAAGTCAAAAGTGCATAAAAAGGAAAAAAAATCGTTTTGCTTTTGCCTATATTCGCAAAAAAGTCTTTTTACTACAGAAAAAGCAAAATCAAAGCAAGCAAGGATATTTTTATGTTCAAGGTAAATCAAAAATTTGCTTTTGAAAATGTTTATGGGTTTCTTTCGTGGAATTGCATTCATGCATTGATACGATGCAATCAACACAATTCTCAACTTGAAATTTTAAAAATCAATAATCAACACAGTGGAAAACGTTATGGCACAAAAAATCAACAGATTTTCCGGCTTTTGCTTTCGCGACAAATTCCTCTAACAGGATTTTCTGGTTGTTGAGACGTCGTTGACAAGATTTCCTCAAAATCTGGAATCTTCTTTGGCATTAGAGTGTGTTCCTCTCGACTAATGCGTTTTCTAAAATGCATCTATTTGAGAAAAGTACCGTAGTCGAGCCGTTAGTTTTCATCAGATCAATCCAATTTTTAAATGATTGGCTGAGCGAAAATGAAAAAATGGGAGAATGAGGGAGCCATGGGCCTTTCAGCGCCCGATTTGGCCACGCTTTTCAGCGCCCATTGGCGCCGAAAACAATCACGAGGCAAATAAAAGGCCAAAAACGTTCAAAAAATGACCGGAAAACGTTCATTTCAGCGCGACTAAATTTAATATTTTCTACGCTGCTTTTGCGTTTTTGGGTTTTGTTTCTTGGGGGGGGGGGGGGGGGGGGGGGGGGGGGGGGGTTTTCAGGTTTGGGTGTGAAGTTTCCCAAAAGCTGCGTCTTCCTTTGCTTAGAGTGTGTTCTCGACTAGTGCGGGCAAAGGCGGGCGAGAAAAGGCCGGGTCGAGCGTAAGTTTTCATCATGATCAATCCAATTTTTTTTGGGGGGGGGAAATGATTGGCCTGATTGGCCTTGAAATGATTGGCGCTCAATTTTTGGCGTCAAATGATACCCCAAAATTGAGCTGATCGGATGTAAATTGACAGTTTGACTACGGTGATTTTCTCAAATAGGTGCATTTTAGAAAACGCATTAGTCGAAAGGAACACACTCTATTTGGCATCGAAAAAGTAGAAAATGTTTAAATACCGTACATACTGTAATAGTACCGCACCCCCATAATGACGGTGCGGAGTGTTGCGTAGTCTAGCTTTGACCGAGTTTTTCTCGACACTGGTTTATGCTAGATTGCGCGCTTAGGTATCAAAAAATAGCTGAAATTCAGGGCTATTTTTTGATACCAAAGACGCTTTTTTTGAAAGTACGAGCACTTTGAAAAAGGTTGAAAAAATGCGAATGCGGCTTTTGAAAAAAAATACTAAAAAAACTTTTGCGATTACGCGACTTTACGAGGGGCGGTGGGTTACTATTACAGTATTTGCGGTAAGTAGAAAAAAAAGGATTACATCAGGCCTCGGAATTTGTCTTGGCCCCATGCACTTTTTAAGTAGAAAACGCTCCAAATCGATTAACGTGAGGATTGTCAAATCACCGCCCAAACTTTCGCGAAGCTCATCGATTTGTTTCTGAAAGTTTCATCGACTCATCAACTGATCAATAGATTCTTCGCTTTTCAGTGTATATGGTTTCAGCAGTCCTTACCAAGCATTGCTCAGTCAATCGCAGTCAAAAGCAAATCTTAATCTCAATTTCAATACTTACCAAACATTCCAAACAATCGATTTTCCTGTGATTGAGAGTCAAAATCGATTGCGCTAAAGAAAAGAATCCAAAATATACAATAAACAATCGAAACATTTTCTTTCAGAGACTGAAAATGAATTGATAGCTTGACTTTCTCTTTCAAAAACTTCTCTCTCCAAATTGGATAAACAAAAGGGAAATGAGATGCTTTTATCAAAAGGGAATGACTCTTTCATTGTTGTTGTTGGGGAGGGGATGCTGAAATAAATATCACTAGCTATTTATTTCATTTTGTTTCTCGATTCAGAGTCAGCTGTAAAATGGGTTCATTTCTGTCACCTTCAATGTCATTTCTGTCACCTCCAATGTCATTTCTATCATCTCCAAAGTCATTTTTATCATCTCCAATATCATTTCTGTCATCATCAATGTCATTTTTGCAATCAAACAATAAATTCGAAAGTCAAAAGCCAAAATTCGAAATTTTGGCTTGTACTTGAAAGTTGAAACGTTTATTTGACGTTTGAACGTTAGAAATTTTTATCGAAATTACCCGTCAATCAATGACAGTCTAAAAATCACAGGTTTGTGCAATGGTTAGCAAAAAAACTGGCAAGATTTGGGAGAAGAAAGTAAGGGAAGTAAGAAAGTAACGAACTTGAAATAAAATAAAATTTGTTCAAATTAAAGTATTCAGAAAAATTCTAACAGTAAATCTTCAAAAAAATGCGTTTTAAAGTTTTTAAAACGTTTTAAAACAAAAACAAGTTTTTAAGACGTCAACTTTTGAAAACTATCATAATCGTGGCTTCAGTTTTATTCAGTTCAAGCTTTCTTGAGTCTTTGTAGCAGTTTGAAGTAGATAAATAGATAATCCAGACTACGGCAGTTTTTAAAAGTTGACGCATTTTAGAAAATGTATTTGTTTAGAGAAACAAATGCTGTAGTACTTCATTGAAAGAGCTCAAAATATGAAACGGGGGGGGGACGCGCCTTTCCCGACATTTGCGCCCTTTTTTGGGAAAGGCAGGCAAGGGGGGGGGCAAATTGGGGCAAGGCAACGCGCTTTCCGCAGTTTTTACCTTTAGCCCAAATTTGACGTGCAGCGAGGTCCGATTGTCGAAATTCGGGATCTACGCAGACCCATATATGGAAAATTTCGAAATATTCGAGCTCTACGCCCCCAAGGCGTTTCCAGCAAAAGGGCGCAATGCCGGGTGCGCAAAAGGTGCATTTGTCCCACCCCCAAAACGGACACTTTTATGAATCCCTTGAATATCAAAATTGATAAGGAAAATTAAAAGATATTCAGAGTAGGACAGATCAAAAATTCTTGCATGGCTGGGGGCCGAGCCCGGGACCTTTCGCTTACCAGGCCGCCGTACTAACCACTACACTACAACGTATATGAGATCGATGACTGCAGAGGGAGTTAAGTTCAGTTATCAGAAAAGTTTTCTAACTACCGTAAATACTTTAAAATCGATATGTTTGATATAAAATCAAAACAACAAAAAAAAATTCTGTCATTTTCAAAAAAAAGATTAATAAATTCGGGTTAGTGGTTAAAAATTCAACAGTTGACTGTCTTTTTGCTGCAACATCAGACTCCGTTTGGACATTGTTGAAACATAAGAAGCACTGAAAATCAATGAAATTCACATTATTTGAAATTAAATTTAAATTTTCCATATACTGTATTCTCTCTAATAGCAGTGCACACCGGCGAGCCGAGTTGATGCCTATTTTATGGTTTCCAATTTTTCCCAGAAGCTCAGCCCTCTAATCACCCACTAGATCTCATCGTCAGCTACATTTTCCGACCCCACATCAATAGGCTCTGATAAACGTTTCTCGAGATTTCGAGCAATTTAGGCAACGCTCAGGGTGCACTACTATTAGAGAGAATACGGTATATATATGTTGTGTCCGATTTAGATTCAATCTAAATCGGACGTCCGATTTAGATTGAACTTATCGCGGACGTCCGATTTAGATTACAGTCTATATCGGACGACTCAATCTAAATCGGACGTCTTATATAGATTGAACAATAATATAAACATGTTTAGTATATGTTCTTAAGCGTTTTCTGTAGTTTTCTGCATTTTTCAAAGGTCTTTTATTGATTATTTCATAGTTGGGTTTTCTTTTCAGAAAAAGACAGTAACAGACCTTTGAAAAATGCAGAAAACTACAGAAAACGCTTAAGAACATATACTAAACATGTTTATATTATTGTTCAATCTATATAAGACGTCCGATTTAGATTGAGTCTAAATCGGACGTCCGATATAGACTGTAAATTAAATCGGACGTCCGCGATAAGTTCAATCTAAATCGGACGTCCGATTTAGACTCAATCTAAATCGGACGGAAATCTAAATCGGACACAACATATATATTAAAATAAATCTCCAAAATCTCTTCAAAATTTAGAATTTTTGAAGACACAAAAGAAACTCAAAAAAAAATCGAAAAAACTTTAAAATCTAAAATTTTCATTGCTTTTTTGTATAAGAGCATTCAAAAAACAAGAAAAATAATGTAAAATTTAGTGCTTTTTAACCGCATTTTGAGTGATTGAAGGAAAAAAAAAGAAAAAAAAGAATTGAACACTAAAATCTACCCTCAATATTTATCATCAGATTCGTTTTGAATCGTTTTTCGGCTATAAAAATGAAAGACATATGTAAAGAAGTCTTTTTTTTTTAAAAGAAATGATTTTTACCTAGAAACAGGGATTTTTCCTTTTCTTTTTGGCGTATCGTAGATCATGTAGACAAGGTAGAGAGCGTTTAGGGAGAACTGAAAAAGAAAATTAGGTTTTTTTTAAGGATTTAAGGTTTTTTTTAAGGATTTTAAGGATTGACTAAAAAAAAGGTCTACAGTTAAACGTTTGTAGAAGATTCTTTAGTAGATGGGTTTTTTTTACAGCTTCAAGCCAATACTCTAAATAAAAAACCTTATAAAAAAATCGTTTTTCTAATGAAAAAAAAATAAGCCAAGCTTTAAGCTAAGCTTTAAGCCAAGTTTTAAGCCAAGCTTTAAGCCAAGTTTTAAGCCAAGCTTTAACCCAAGCTTTAACCCAAGCTTTAAGCCAAGTTTTAAGCCAAGCTTTAAGCCAAGTTTTAAGCCAAGCTTTAAGCCAAGTTTAATCCAAGCTTTAACCCAAGCTTTAACCCAAGCTTTAAGCTAGAAAATAATAATTTCTCAAAAAATCTCAAAAATTTTAAGGGAAAGCTGCACTCATTTGTTTTTTATGAGTAATTTCTTGGAGTCAACTTGTAACTGGTTTTTAACTGGTTTCTGTTGTGGTTTTCTGATTTTTTTTTTGTTTTGTTTTAATGGCTTAAAATCAAAGAAAACCAGGTTTATTTATTTTTAAATCTAGCTTATTTTTACAAGAAAACAATGAATTGTCGATTAGGGATTAAAGTTTGAAAAAAATTCGAAGCGTGAATTTGAAATGAGTGCGGTTAATTGTGCGCCACCCATTGTAGAGCATTTTCGAAACAGATTCGGATCAAAATCTCGATAGTAAATCGGGTTTTTTCGAGTTATTTACGAATTTGGTTTGATTGTCGTAATCGATTTTTGAAAAGCACCTGAGCAAAGTACATGATTTGCGTGAAAAACTCGAATCTTTCCTGGGTGACCACGTCGAGTTTCATCATCTCCTCTTCGGACAACATACAACTGAAAAATCTTCAAAGTTTAATAGAGTTTAATGGATTTCTAAGCTGAATTTGAAAATGTTATTATGAAAAGATCTATAATATTCTACTTTTAAAGTGCTCTTTAGTTGAATATCTTTTAATTTTATGGAAAAATTCAAACAAACAAGTTTAATAGATTTCTAAGCTGATTTCTAAAATGTTAGCTATAGCTATGTTAGCTATTTGGAATCGACCCCCCTACAGAGTTTCGAGAGAGTTCAATAATCTTGAAACCTTTAAATGATCTGTAGATGATCTTGATCTTGAAGCTCTAGTGAATTCTTGACGTCATCTGTGCTACCCATATATTATATTATATCGTGTTGCTTTTTATCGGCCCTTTTCGTGTTTATGTGTATGAATTGATGTGTATCAAACTTAAATCTAGCGCACTTTATCTCAGGCCATGAATAAAGTATCTTATATAAACTCACAGATATAGTCGATAGACGTAACTCGGCAGATTCATTCCCAAATCGAAAATCGTGATCGCTAGACAGCGTCGAAGAATTTTTAGCTGTTGAGCTCGTCGCTTGACTCTGAGAAATTGAGATTTTTATTTAATTTTGAGAATAAGTTCACTAAACAACAATTGTAGATTTAGCTATGTGAAATCTAGAAAGTTAGAGTTGAAAAGAGGGAAAATTGAAGAGAGAAAAACATGCAAAAAAAATATTTGAAGATGCAAAAAATACTATGAAAAGTGATTTGTTACAATTCTAAAACATAACAACACAAAAAGTTACCGTATTTTCTTAAATTCATAAAGATTTAGCAATATTTGCATAGTATTCAGCTTTTCATCGTACTTTAAACATGGGCTTTTTGCTCGAAAAGTTTAATCGAATCTTTTCTGGAGCACTCTTATTTCACTGTCCAAATAAAAGTATTCATTGTAAATGATTGAAAAGAAAAGAATTCTTTAAAAATAAGCCGTAAATACTGTAATAGTACCCCAGCCCCATAATGACGGTGTGGAGTGTTGCGTAGTCGAGCTTTGAACGAGTTTTTCTCGACACTGGTTTATGCTACAAAGCGCGCTTAGATATCAAAAAATAGCCCTCAATTTCAGCTATTTTTTGATACCAAAGACGCATTTTTTGAAAGTAAGGGCGCTTTGAAAAAAAATGAAATACTAAAAAACCTTTGCGACTACGCGACTGTACGTGGGGGTGGGGTAATATTACAGTATTTACGGTAGATATTTAATTGAATACTTTTACATCAAGAAAATGAGATATTCTCAATAAAAAATATCAGTCACATGCGCCAGAATTTCATCTTTAATTTCAAAACAGAAAATCTCTTGTGTTTTCAATTTTTAAGCATAAAGTACATGTTGCAAAGTACAGAAAATACGGTAACTAAGATTAAAAACGGTAACTAAGATTTCAACTAAACAAGTGCTAGAAAAATAATAGGGATTAGAGCCAAGTTTTCCCGTAAATCATAGCATCATCACAGCACAATGTAGAAATGAGGGTGAGTGATTGTGGCACTGATCATTTCTATTTCATTCCATCTATTTCTTTTCTTTTCTTTTTTTTTCTCTTCACTTTCTTCACCTCATCCTTTTCATTGCTTTCTCATCGAACACTCCCAACATCGCCGTTGACAGAATTTTCCCCGACTCCAACAGTAACGCTGACATCACCAAATGACCCCTGGACATATGGGAGATCTTTTTGAGAATAATTATATATTCTTTTCATTTCTAGACAAGTATTGCGTGGTTTAATGGACAGTAAGTTTGGATTTGAAGTATTGGGTTGGTGAATTGAAAACTGCGGGAATTTGAACTAAAATTTATTCAACATAAAACCATGAATTCATTCCAAATTCATTCCAAATAATTTCCATTATTATTGACGACTTCTGCCCATTTTACAGGCAATTTGCGGATTCCTCTTTCGTAGTAGGATTTTGGTTTGTGTGTGAGACAAGTGTGAGACTCAAAAATGGAGGACTGGAGATGTCCCAGTTTGAGCACTTTCTTCAAAAGAAACCCATTTTGGTGTCAATAGAAAAGTTGTAGAGAATCAAAAATGAGGCTTATAGCCAAATTTCCAAAAAGATACATTTAGTAGTTTCGCTTAAAATACAAGTTTTGTGAAAATTCATAGATTTGAAAACGAGTTTTTGACTCGTACTAAAAATTTGGATATAAACTTGATTTTTGATTCTCTACAACTTTTCCATTGACACCAAAATGGGTTTCTTTTGAAGAAAGTGCTCAAACTCTCATATATGACAATAGCCCGCAGTTTTCAATTCGCCAACCCAGGTACTCGAGGATTCGAATCCATTCACTTTTTTCTTTTTGTTCTTTTTGTTTTTTCTGTAAACACTGACTCAGACTGAATAAATCTTTAACTAAACAAAAGATTTATTCACTTTTACTCGACATTAAACCTGTTCTTTCTTTACTTTGTGCACAAACGAAAGCGCATCCTTTCTGGGACACTTTTAGCACTCTAGTGTACCAAAAGGTTTGCGTTTTCACTAAGCACAAAGTCAAGCACAATAAAGTAAAGCAATGGGTTTAAAAGCTTTAAGAAAAACGCTGTGGTTCTCGTAGGAATTTCAAATTCAATTTAAATCTATTTTTAAATCCTCATTGAAATGTAAACAAATTTCAAAGAATTCGATCACTGCAAGAAAAAAAAAAAATTCAACTTCAAACCGTGCAATGAATGGGGGAAATTTTAGAAAAAAAAAAAAAAGCTTTTGGAAAAAAAAGTTTAACTAGGATAGAGGAAAAAGATATAGAAAAAGAAAGTTTAAATTTTTGAAATTAATATTAAACTCACTTGGCTTCTTGTTCGACGAGATCTCCATTCGATGGGATTGGAGCGAATTGCTTTGTTGTCGTGCCGAAACCGGTGAACCAAACCGTTCGACAGAATAAAACCTCAAAAAATTTCATCATTTTTACACTCATTTTCTGTCAAATAGAAAAAAATGTTCTTGAATTGGTGGATTCGTTTTTGAAGAAATTCCATTCAAACTTTTTTCGAGAACTTTCTTTGCAACCTAATAGGTTAGTCTCATAGGTCACACGTCAATAAAGCTCATCAAATTACTTATTGACCAAAAACCCCAAACATTTTCCATTGTTTTCGAGAACTTTCTTTGCAACCTAATACTTTTCTTGGCTTAATTTTTCCTAATAACCTAATAAATTATTTATTAGGTTGATGCAAAAGTCTTTTTCATTTTTTTCGTACTTCTGTTAAAAAGTAACAAATTCACGAATTAATCTATAGTTTGCTCTATAAAAAAAGTGTTTTTTTGTTCAATTTGCATCTTTTTAAATGAATTTCGGTTCACTTTCAAGCAAATTCGAGAGTGAAAAACGCCTTTTTCGTAAAAATCTATAAAAAACTCTACGGAAAAATTGGCTGAATGAATTTCTCTGAAATTTTGGCGAAATATCAAACGTTTTTTTTTCTATCTTTTATCTATTGACACGAAGATAGGTTTTCTTTAGCTAAGGTGTCTAAACCGCATCATCGAGTTAGCCCTTTTTGCCTACCCGACTTCATACTCTCAAGAAAATCCAGGCATTAAATATTTTTAAACCCGTTTTAATGTTATTTTGCAGAAAAATAATTGGTTTTTCTAATGAAATCAACCGTAGTTTAATTGGTGCATTTGTTCGCTTGAAACGGCAGACGAAAAAAATGAAAAAGACTTTTGCATCAACCTAATAGCTAAAATTTATTTAAGTCACGTTATTTGTTTTTAAAAAAAAAAAAAAAAGTTGTTGCTATTAAGAATTGCGTTTTTTTGATTACTAAACAAAAGTTTTAGAGAAACTTTTTCATGGTGTTTTACAGGGCGCACAATTACCCGCACTAAGTTCAAATTCTTTAGTGTCAATCAATCGATTTAATTCTTTTTATTATCAAATTGAATATTTCTCTTGCAATGTGTTTTCTGTATTTGATTTTGATTTGAGTTTCTAAACTTTTGCTAGAGTTTTGCAAAGTCGCGACACGCGTTTCCTGGGATGGAATCGCGATTTTCTGGTTTTTGTAACTAGTTTGTAACTAGTTTATAACTGGTTTTTAACTGGCTTCTGTTCTGGTTTTCTGGTTTTCTGGTTTTTTTTTTCTTTTCAATGTTGTCGTGCCGAAACCGGTGAGAACCGTTCGACAGAATAAAACCTCAAAATTTCATCATTAGTACACTCATTTTCTGTCAAGAGAAATATAAAAAAAATGAAGCTTAAATAGCTTCTAAGCTTCATCACTTTGTAATTATGCAAATGAATCCGTTCTCTTTTACTCAATTCTCAATTTTCTCTCTGACATCGATATTGTCAGAAAAGGGATTTGAGTACGCCAGAAAGGATCCGTTTAAGGCCAAAGTGCACCCGAAGAACAAGCTAAAGAGTTACAGAAAAACGTGAAAACCTGGTTTCCTATTTCATTTCAAACTTTCATTTCAAACTTTCAAACCCCCCACTTTCAAATCGAGAATCGTGATGATGACAAGCGGCAAAAAGTATGACATCACCATCTCCATCATTTGCAATTTCTGACCAGTCACCTCGTCGGATCGTGAATCGCAGCTAAATTTTTTGAGATGAAATCAATTCTCAATTCTCTTTCGTGGATATTTTGGGAGGCATTATTTCAGGAAAATTTCTCACAAACATTTATTCTTTCTGGAAAGGTTTTAATGAGATTTCCTTACTTTTTTTTTTGGGGGTTTTTCTCTTCTAGATTTCCTCGTAAAGTGTGTCTGTTTGTTGAATAAGTGAATTTCGAGGCGGGGAAACAATGAAAGATTCGATTGAAATGAAGAAAGATTGGAAAAAAAAGAAAAAGATTGGTACATTCTAGGTTTTTCTTTGTCTGAGCTCAGTTTTTTTTTGTTCTTGGATGAGTGAATGTTGTTTCTTTGGCTCTGTAGGATAAAAGAAAAAAAAAGAAAAAACATTGGGAACAGTAGAAACTAGCTACAAAATTTAGCTTTAAAATTTCCAGGAGACATCTCAACCAAACCAACCCTCGCCTGGCTTACAGATCGTAAGCCAGGTGAGGCCAGAGCTTGACCAGAAGTCAGTCTAAAGTTTTAGCTGACTTCTGATGCGCTTATAGTCTTGTCTGAGCTAGGCCAGCCCAAAATCTGACTCTGAACCAGCCCAGGACTTGCGTAGGTCAGGAAAATTTCCTTTAGAATGACCCTGCATCCATCCAGGACATTTGATCCGCGTCCTGCCTCTTTTGCCATTGGCAATCCAACTTTGAGCTCAAATTTCTTGATGTTGAGCTATCCAATTTAAATACTTTTGATATCATTGGATGCGCCAAGTCTTTCTTTATCGATCGGTATAAAAACTATTGAAATTGATCAGCCAACACCAAGAAATTTGAGCTCAAAGTTCGATTGCTAATGGCTAATTTGCTAAATGGCGGGGTGTCCCAACCCTCTATTAAACTGTTTTTAGCCCCGTCGTTCAACGGCGGGTCATCGCCGAGTGGTTAGCGCGCTCGCCCCGAGTGCTATAGGTGAAGGGTTCGAGTCCGTCTCCAACAAACATTTTGTTTTTTCTCAAAAGCTCAAATTTCACTTGAAAAAATCTCTTCCCAAAACATCGATGACACTTAAAAACAAATGTGTCATTATCAGCTTCTATATCCGTTTCTTTTTGACACTCACCCTCGTGTCTCGGGAATATACGTGATGTCATAAAGAAGCCACGACTCCGAGATGCAACAGAAAACGGCGATCCCAATCTGAAATTCTCGTTCAATGCAAGTGTTTTTTGTTTCAGGTTTCAAGTCAATAATCCAATAATCTCGTATTTGATTTCCCAGCGAACACTTTCAAATGATGTCCTCAAAAATGCGCCATCGATCTCAAAACAAATCCTCGGTCAATTGAAAAACGTTTTTGGTTTTCACTCGCGAGGAAACACTTCCACCACATGTTTTTCAAATGACGTTGGTTCAAATGTTTTTCAAATGGTTGGTGAATTGAAAAAATGCGCGACTTTGAACCAAAATTGATTGAACATAAAACCATAAATTCATTCCAAATAATTCCCATTATTGAATTTGATTTCCCAGCGAACCCTTTCAAATGATGCCCTCAAAAATCCGCCATCGATCTCAAAACAAATCCTCGGTCAATTGAAAAACGTTTGCGGGAGTCTTTTTGATTATTCAAAGTGGATCAAAAAAAAAGAGGAAAAAGGAATGATAAAGAAAATCCGAAAAAGAAAAAAAAAGAGAAAACGGATTTCGGAGATAAAGAGGGGGAAAATTTTTGCAACACAAACAAATTACCAAATCTTTCGCGGCGGGGGACAAAGAGCGATCCCGAAAAGGCCAAATAAAGCCAAATAAAGCCAAATAAAGCCAAACACTTCTGCGGGAGTTTTTGAAAGAAAATATTTGCGTTTCAATCAAAAGACACCAAAAGCAAACGAGTTTTTTGATTTATGGAGTTTGGGTTTCGTGGAAAAAAAGTTATAAACTTCTTGGAGTCGAAACGAAAAGTTGCGAAAGGTTTTCGGAAGGAAATCTTCAAGTTTTCAAGGCGTAAACATATTTTTCTCTTAGCAATTTCTCCGATAGATTTCATTTTGAGTTTCCTTTGCTTAAAATCCAAGTAAAACTTTGTTTCCTTGTTCGAAAGATGAGTTGAGTGCACTAGAAAATTTCTGTTTTCATGGGGTTTCTTTGTGATTTCTGCAGGAGGTTGAAATTGACTGGATGCATCAGAAAAGGAGTTTGATAAGAGAGAGTAAAAAGTACAGAATGCTTTGAAGTCGTTTGTCTTTTAAGTAACATTAACTAGTTAATGTTACTTAAAAAGTACTTGATCTAAAATCCCTAGTCATTTCCTATTTTCCCAAGTTCTTCAGCTGATGTTTGAGTTCTGATAAGCATCAGAGAAGGTGTGTGATAAGAGAGAGCAAAAAGTACGCTTTGAAGTCGAATGCTTTGAAGTCGTTTGTCTTTAACTAGTTAATGTTACCTAAAAAGTAGTTGATCTAAAATCCCTAGTTCCTATTTTCCCAAGTTCTTCAGCTGATGTTTGAGAAATTCACGTAATTTTCTCGTAAACATCTTTTCAAAAAGCGACGGAGAAACTTTTGAAAAGAGCTTGATTAAATCAAATTTTTTTGCGTAACAAAAAAAAGCTACAACTTTATGCATATAAGTGGGTTTTTAGTAAATAGATAGTAAAGGATTTTTGAAGTTTTGAAAAGATTTTAAGATTTTAAAGGATTTTAAAAGATTTAAAAAGATTTAAGAAAGGATTTTGAAATGAAAATAAGCCCCTTGTTTACGGATTTTAAAAGTCAAACCTATTAATTCATCTTAACAAGGCTTTTCCACCTCAACAAGTACATCGTAAACGAGTAAACAACTTAAAACTTATCAAGATTATCGAGATTTCTGTATTTTCAAATTATTCGATGAATTACTGCAAACTCACCACAGCTAAATGGGGTTCTTTGTGCATTTTGAGATGAGTGTACGGCCGATAGATGGCCACATAACGAACAGCTGATAGAACTAGCCAACACCAAATGGAGAATGATGAAGCGGCGTGGATGATGAACACATCCAACTGAAAACAAAGCGAATATTGAAAGAAATTCGAGTTCTTTTGTATGAACTAAACATAAAATGACTTTGGTAGTTACCGGTACAGCTTAATGCTAGTCTAGACACGAGAAAATTCCCAAACCAAACCCAATTCCATCGTTGTTTCCCTAGCCAGTAATCTGGCTAGGAGAATCAGTAATCTAAGCCAGTAATCTAAGCCAGTAATCCCAAGCCAGCAATCCCAAGTCAGTAATTCCAAGTCAGTAATCCCAAGTCAATAATCCCAAGCCAGTAATCCCAAGCCACTAATCTTGTCTACAGGCTGCTAAAACCGATTTCTACCTACAGACAAATCTTTCAAGGAAGAATTAGGTTGAGATTGCAGTTTTCTGTGCCTAATGCGCTTTTGATTGTCTTTCTTTCTTTCTTTTCTTTCACTTTCTAAAGCCTAATGCTCAATGAAGTTGAACACGTCGATTGGGACTGGGAAAAAAGATGATTAGCACCGGGATCCGAACCCGTGACCTCTATCCGTCCAATGATGCGAACGCTCTACCAATGACCTATACTGACATGCGAACCGTTCGCCGTCAAGATGCCTTACCTTGCACGCCATCTCAAAAAACGTTGTGTTTTCGATTCCCCAAAATCGGAGAGTTAAAAGGAAAAAGAGTGCGGCTAAACAGAGAGTGTCTGCAGCAGCCATTGTGCACAATAATTGAAGAGAGATTTGGGTAGTTGTCGATTGGCGTTTCTTTCTGAAATTCAATTTTTGATTGTCCTAATTCATTGTCAAGTAGAATTTCCAGTGACATTTATTGTTTCCCATTTTCTTTTGTTTTAAACAACTACAGCACTTTTACTAGGCCAATTGACATTACTTCTCTTTTGTCTATAGTATTTCTTTAGAATTTCTTCATTTCTTTGTAATTTGACAATGTTAAAACTTTAGATTTTTGAATCATTTCAACAATTTCTCGAAGCTCAACTCAAAGCCATCACTTTTTTTTCATATTTTTGACGACTTTTCAATAAAAATTCTCATTCACACGTCAGAATCGTCAACTCGGCAAAAATTTTTGGCCACATTTCACTCTTTGTTTTTCGATTTTTTCGATTTTTTCTCTATTTCAACTTCAACTCAAGCTCTCTTTTCTTTCATTTTCCTTTTTGACGTTCCTTTTCTATGAAGACACTCTTAAAGAGATAAAGAAATCAAAGAAGAGATAAAGAAATCAAAGAAATCAAAGAAGAGATAAAGAAATCAAAGAAATCAAAAAAGGGGGGGAGGGAAAGAGGGGAAAAAAAGGGGGGAGGGAGAGAAATAAAAGAAGAGGAGGGGGGGGGGAAGGAGAGAAAGAAGAGGAGGAGAGGGGAAAGGAAAAAAAGGGGAGAGGGGGAGGGGGGGGGGAGGAGGAAAGGGGGGGGAGGGGGGGGGAGGAAAATCAAAGACCTTTGAACTTCATTTTTAACAATTCAAAACCAAAATGCTATTGCTAAAATGATTTCCAATCCTTTTTTTTGATAAAGTAAAGTTCAGAAAAGTTTCTGTTCTGGTGAAGAAAACAAGATTTTGCGTCCGCTTTCCATTCGACTGCATAAGTAAGGCGTTGGACGAGAAAATTATTCACCAAATTCAAATCATTTAGAGGAAAAGGGAAAGTGTTTCCGAATCTTTGATGGGAAAATGGAAAGAGTGCTTTTGATGAAGTAGGACAACTTGTTTGACGTCTATACTTCACTTTCTCGATCCTTGATTGTTTTTCGTGGATTCATTTTAATGTCTAGCAGATTTAGAGCGCCGAATGAGAGTGAAAAGTTGAAGAAGAGAAAAAAGAAAGGAAAAGAAAAGAATCTAACATAAAGTCCTTGAGCCCAAATGGAGCTAGCTAGTTAAATATTGATAAGTATACTGGTAAATTGATTTAGATATCTGCCAATTGGCGCTTGTCATAAGTTTGGCTGGCAATTCGATTTGTGAAATCTCGTTGACGTTCATCGATTATTTTGATTAGACTTTAACTGTTATAAAAATTACCGTATTTTCTCTAATAGTAGTGCACCCCGCCGAGTTGATGCTTATTTTACGGTTTCCAATTTTTCCCAGAAGCTCAACACTCAAATTCCCCACAAGATCTCATCGTCAGCTACATTTTCCGACCCCACATCAATAGGTTCTGATAAGCGGCTTTCGAGATTTCGAGGAATTTAGACGAAGCTCTGGGTGCACTACTATTAGAAAACGGTATATTACTCCAGGTTAGGCTAGTAGACTAGACTGATCTATTTCCCTAATATTTCCCGGTGAGCCGAGTTGATGACGATTTTACAGTTTTCAAGTTTCCCCAGAAGCTCAACACTCAAATTCTCATCGTCAGCTCAAGATCTCATCGTCAGCTACATTTTCCGACCCCACATCGATAGGTTCTGATAAGCAGTTCTCGAGATTTCGAGGAATTTAGGCGACGCTCAGGGTGCACTACTATGGGAGAAAATACGGTAACATACCTATAATCATATTTGATTTAAATCTACGGTATAAAGAGTCCTAGTTCTGTTCAAAAGCTTGTCCATTTTTCCCACAAATCCCCCAGCCAATTCTACTCGATTTCCGCACTCAACTCGCCCAAACATCTCACCGTGTAGGTGTTGACAAAGAAGGCGTCACTAATGAATGCACAAAGTGGAGAAGAAAAAAAAAGAGGAAGGAGTAGAAGGAGTGAAAGCTGGAGATAGAGAAGTGGATGGCACTTCCCCTTCTTCTTTCTCTTCTTCTTCTTTCTCTTCTTCTTCATCTCATTTTTCCCTTTCATCAACCACTCATTCTCCTCGTCAGAAGCGATTAACAAAGAGATTAAAGAAAAGACTTTTGGTGAGGGAATGAATGAAAAGTTGTGACTCTAGGAATGTGTTTGTTGCATTAAGGGTACAAGCAAGACCAAGGTCAATCCAAGAAACTAGATCAAGTGACTGTGAAATCTCCAATCAGTCACAATCTTAACTTTAGCCAAGATTTTCTTCATGAGAATCATTCATTTGAACTTTTCTAATCTAGAGAGACAAAATTGGTTTAAATATTTTTGTCAAAAAAAAAGATAGCTAGGAAAGTGGAAAATATTAAAATTTCAAGAAAGAATCAAGAAACGAGGAAGTGCAATGGAACAAAGGGGAAATGGAAGGAAAAAGAAGAGAAAGGGGAAGCCAGTAATCCCAAGCCAGTAATCCCAAGCCAGCAATTCCAAGCCAGCAATCCCAAGCCAGCAATCCCAAGCCAGTAATCCCAAGCCAGCAATTCCAAGCCAGTAATCCCAAGCCAGCAATTCCAAGCCAGTAATCCCAAGCCAGCAATTCCAAGCCAGCAATCCCAAGCCAGTAATCCCAAGCCAGCAATTCCAAGCCAGCAATCCCAAGCCAGTAATCCCAAGCCAGCAATCCCAAGCCAGCAATCCCAAGCATGGAAGTGCAATGGAACAAAGGGGAAATGGAAGGAAAAAGAAGAGAAAGGGGATGTTGGGCAGAAGTTGAACGGGTAGCTTGTGCATTTTTTGAGCAAAAGATTTATGAAAAAGTAAAAATAACAGTAAAAGCTTTTCGCGTACTGTCTTTTTTATTATTTTTTTTTCTTTTAAACTCACGTCGAGAATCGTCTCCGCCAGAAAACACTTAAATTAAGCAAAATGCCGACCACAGTGATCATCAAGAAAATCGACCATTGGAATGGAATCGAGCTTGTCACTTTTTCTGAAACTAATCTATTTATTTCTCAGATGCTTATTTTCCTTTAGACTTTTAGTTCTTTCTCTTACTCTTTCTCCTTTCTCCTTTCTCTTTCTTTCTCTTCCTTGTTCTTTCTCTTCCTTGTTCTTTCTCTACTCAGTCCTATTCCATAAACTTAACCAATTCGATTACACTAGTGTAGGTGTTTTGTGAATAAAAAAAAAGATGTAGGGAGATCAGTTCAAAGAAAACAAATCTAGATTTTACGCTTTGAAAAAATCCTGTGAACTGTGAACTTAAAGCTTTAAAGCTTTAAAATGATGTCCTTGATGAAGATTATTTGAATTTGCACAGATAATTTGACTTGAGATCTAGATTTTGAATTCTTCTTTATCGTCAAAGCACTAGATTCTAGCGTTAAGAGTTTGCTTGAAGCACTTTTTTTTAGGATATCAACTATCGCAATTTATAGTCAAAGATTTCCCCAACACAAACCATCATCGAAATTTTGTGGCGTTGAAGTGGATGGACGAATGGCGAGTGATCCATTTGTTTCTCTCATTGTCTTCTTTACTTTTCTTTTTCTTTTGATCTAATCCTAAATGCACTTAAATAAAGTAAAGAAAAGTGAAAAAAAGAAAAGAAAAAGAAATAAAAACAAATTAAATAGGAGATCGGTACAAAAAAAAACAAAATGACAAGGCAATTTAAAAGGTTCAAAAGCTCTAAAGCTTGTACTCTAAAGCTTGTACTCTAAAGCTTGTACTCTAAGGCTTGTACTCTAAAGCTTGTACTCTAAGGCTTTAGTTTTGTATTTAGTATTTAGCTGAGAAAATTTGGCTTAGACAATGAAAAATGGACTTAAAAAGTTTTTAGCTTCAAATGTCTCTTTAAAATTGGCATTTCTCAAATGGAAAATCTTTAAAATTGAATATTTTATGCAATGGATATGCTCATTTTGCAAAATGGGAGAAGAAAAATTGCTGATAATTATGAAGCTAAGTTTTTTTTCTCTTCTCAAAAACTTTAAAAGTTCATTATTTCAAGTATTTCAGTTTTTTTTAAATATTAGAAGAAAAAAGGGAAAAATTGGTGTTCCTAATGGGAGAAAAGAGAAAATTGGAATGATTTTATCAAGAAAAAGATGAAAATTTAACGATTTAGGATTTACTAGTGTTAAACGAAAAAAGAATTGAGATATAACAAAAAGCTGAAAAAAGAATTGGCTGAATAAAGCTAGCCAGTTAAAGCTTTACCTTGTACCTAGCTAGCTTTATTCAGCTGTATCTGGCTGGAGAAAGCTTTACCTAGCTGGATAAAGCTTTGCCTTGTACCTGGCTAGCTTTATCAGTTGTACCTGGCTGGAGAAAGCTTTACCTAGCTGGAGAAAGCTTTATCTTGTACCTAGCTAGCTTTATTCAGCCAGACTAAGGTTTGATTCTGATCTAGCCTGTTTTTTGAAATAAGCTTGATCTGGAATGAAATCTGGAAATCTGGATGAGCGATTGACTTTGATTTGTAATGCTCAATTAAAGATCAATCCCTCAACCAGATTTCATTACTTATTATTATCCAAAATCACTTTCACATATTTTTTTCCATATTCTCCATAATGCTATCATTACAAAATCATAAAAAACATAAAAATCATGGCCATCTTTTCTATCAAAATCTTCACGAACGCTTTCTTTGCCATTTTCCTTTTATTTCATCCCATTTTCTCTTTAGATTTCAATCCAAAATGAAACAAACATTTCTCAATTCCCAAATGACTAAAAAAATTCTATTTTCTAAATTAGAAAATGTTTAAAAAAGTGAACATGTTTCAAAATGGAAAGATTTACAAGTCACAGATCTCGGGAGTGGGACAAATGCCACCCTTTTTTTTGCGCACCCGGACATTTGCGCACCTTTTTTTCCGCACCTTGCCCGTTAGCGCACCTTTTTTCGCGTTTTAAAAAAGCTCTAAAAAGCTAATATTAACCAATTTCTATTCGAAATGTTGTTTTTCTAGGTAATTTGATGGTGTCGAATTCAAATTTTGACATAACAGAGCGTGTGGAACCAATTTGAAAGACAAAACGGCTAGATCAAATTACAGATTGTCAAATTGTCGATTTTTCTCTTTGTATAACTCCGTCCGTTTGTTTCCACACGCTCTGATATGTCAAAATTTCGATTCTACGCCCTAAAATTACCTAGAAAAACAACTTTTCGAATAGAAATTGGTTAATATTAGCTTTTAGCTTTTTTAAAACTTTTTTAAAACGCGAAAAAAGGTGCGCTAATGGGCTAAGTGCGGAAAAAAAGGTGCGCAAATGTCCGGGTGCGCAAAAAAAAGGATGGCATTTGTCCCACTCCCCAGATCTCAATGCAAGAGGTTTTTAGTCTTGAAAAATCAAATGCTTACCAAATTGAAATCGAAATAGATTTTGATAGAAAAGATGGCCATGATTTTAATGTTTTATAGACTATAGAGAATAGACTATAGAGAAAAAGTCAATAAAAGATCAAAGAAGATGAATTACGTTAAAAAGATCAACATTCAATTGATTTAAGAAAGAAAGAAAAAAAGTTTAATTGAACGAAATGAAATGAAAAAGAGAGAGGCGTCAAAATGAAATGAAAGACACCAAAAAAATCCCCGGAGAATTCACTTTCTACCAATTCAAAAAAGAAACATGAAAAAAAAGTACGGAAAAGGGGTTGAAATTTTAATCAAAAAACAATGCTTAGAAAAGAAGAGGATTTGATTGAATTTGATTGAAAAATGAAAGAAAAAATGGAGAGAAAATGGAATGAAATAAAAGGAAAATGGCAAAGAAAGCGTTGGTGAAGATTTTGATAGAAAAGATGGCCATGATTTTTATGTTTTTTATGATTTTGTAATGATAGCATTATGGAGAATATGGAAAAAAAATATGTGAAAGTGATTTTGGATAATAATAAGTAATGAAATCTGGTTGAGGGATTGATCTTTAATTGAGCATTACAAATCAAAGTCAATCGCTCATCCAGATTTCCAGATTTCATTCCAGATCAAGCTTATTTCAAAAAACAGGCTAGATCAGAATCAAACCTTAGTCTGGCTGAATAAAGCTTTACCTTGCTAGCTTTATTCAGCCAGGTACAACTGAATAAAGCTAGCCAGGTACAAGGTAAAGCTTTCTCCAGCTAGGTAAAGCTTTCTCCAGCTAGGTAAAGCTTTCTCCAGCCAGGTACAACTGAATAAAGCTAGCCAGGTACAAGGTAAAGCTTTATCCAGCCAGGTAAAGCTTTATCCAGCCAGGTAAAGCTTTCTCCAGCCAGGTAAAGCTTTATCCAGCCAGGTACAGCTAAATAAAGCTAGCCAGGTACAAGGTAAAGCTTTCTCCAGCTAGGTAAAGCTTTATTCAGCCAGGTACAACTGAATAAAGCTAGCTAGGTACAAGGTAACTAGGTACAAGGTACAAGGCTTTACCTTGTACCTAGCTAGCTTTATTCAGCTGTACCTGGCTGAAACATGATGACCGGTGAAATTAGCTCAAAAACAATTCCAATCAATTCCAATGTAAATGCAAGCTCAGCTTGATCAGTTTGATCGATTGAATGAGGAAAGTGTTCGAAAATCAATGCTATTTCTATTCAAAAAAGATATTCAATCAATAAAATGCTCTATACTCATTCATGTGACTTGATAAACATTCAGAAGGTTTAAAATTATTCAAAATTTCAGACGTTTGCTGGATAAATCTCTCAAAAAGCCAAAACCGGAAGAGATTTTTCAAGTCTGAACCTCAAAAAGTAGTTAGAAGTTCTCTTTCCCATCATAAAAAGCCTTGAAAAATTTCGATTTTACTTTGTGATTGTGTAGTTTTTTTTAAAAACATTTTTTCAATTAGTGAGACAGGAAATTGATCATTGAAAAGTCTTGAGGGAAATTGAGAAAAAAAATCGGAAATAACCAATAAACATTTGAGGGAATAAAATGCAAAGTAAAGAAAAAGTTGCATATTTTTTTTTACACTTTAAGTGCTTATCGATTGCTCTGCATCGAGCGATAGAGTGCAAAGTTTAACAATCGCTTAGTCTATCGCTAAGCTAAAGATATCACTGTTTCCAAGATCAATCTTCAGTATAACCCTTTTAAAGGCAATATTTTCAATCTAGTTTCGAATTTGACAAACTGGAAGAGCAGTTTTGGGATCTGATGAATCTGATGATCTAATGGATCGATTGTGGCATCGATCATTTACCGTATTTTCTCTTTTCTCTAATAGTAGTGCACCCAGAGTGTCGCTTAAATCGCTCGAAATCTCGAGAACCGTTTATCAGAACCTATTGATGTGGGGTCGGAAAATGTAGCTGACGATGAGATCGAGTGGGGGATTAGAGGGCTGAGCTTCTGCAAAAGCTTGGAAACCGTAAAATAGTCATCAACTCATCTCGGTGGGGTGAACTACTATTAGAGAAAATACGGTATTCTAATTGAACGTTTTTTTCGTAAATTTAAACCTTTTCTAACAATCGTATTTTCCCCAATAGTAGTGCACCCAGAGTGTCGCTTAAATCGCTCGAAATCTCGAGAACCGTTTATCAGAACCTATTGATGTGGGATCGGAAAATGTAGCTGACGATGAGATCTTGTGGGGGATTAGAGGGTTGAGCTTCTGGGAAAACTTGGAAACTGTAAAATAGTGGTCAACTCGGCTCACTGGGAAATATTAGGGAAATAGATCAGTCTAATCTACTAGCCTAACTTGGAATAATATACCGTCTTCTCTCTCATAGTAGTGTACCCAAAGCTTTGTCTAAATTGCTCGAAATCTCGAGAACCGCTTTTCAGAACCTATCGATGTGGGGTCGGGAAATGTAGCTGACGATGAGATCTAGTGGGGGATTTGAGTGTTGAGCTTCTGCAAAAGCTTGAAAACCGTAAAATAGTCACCAACTTGGCTCGCCGGGGTGCACTACTATTAGAGAAAATACGGTATTTATAAAGTAAGTATCATTTATTTATATAGTAAATATTTGTAAATTTATAGCTAAATTCAACTTTTGACTTGTAAAGCAAAAGAATTTGTATAAAAAAAAATTGGTCAATCTGCAATCAAACTGGTCGAAAACTTTATGCGAAATAAATAAAAAAAAGTGTTTAAAAACTTGAGCTCTTGGACACATCAAAAATCAAAAAAAAAATCAAAAATTATTACGGCCCATGATTAAGCATATCGTCGTGAATGTGTTCAAAATGATCACAAAATCATTTCCGATCTTTAGAAATACTTCAATGATGAGGTACTCTCAGAATGGGAACGAATGGATGGTGAAGAGAAAGTGGAGAGGTGAGTAAAAGGGGCGGGGTTTTAGGAAGAGCTGGATGGATGGATGGGTTAGAAATTTGACTGGAATATCTTCTCCTTCATTCACTTCACTCGAAAAATATTTTCTTTCTTCTCGATTTCTTGAGAAGGTTTTTAAGAATCTGCAAGTGATGGGTGTAAACAAAGAATTTTTTGAGGGAAGAAATGGGGGAGAAAAAGAAAAGATTGAGTAACATTTTCTTTTTGAGGATTTTCTATA